AACACTTTACTGAGATTTGCAGTCCCACAGCAACATAAAGCTCATCAAGTAACCCCTTACATGTTAAGTTTATAAAAGTTTACGTCATCTTCATGTAGAATTACAGAAGTATTCAAATCTGCTTAACCTCTTCAAAATATGGATTAAGACACCAATGAAAGGAAGTCTTTCAGAGAACATGATTTCAAGTTCCTAAACTCTAATGATAACCATTCACAGCTTGAAAACCATCCAATGACTCATTGGAGAAAAGGGGAAAAAAGGGGATCTAATTTATGATATTCGCAAACTGGATTAGATGCTTTAATTCAAACTCCTGGTTTGCAACTTCCAGTTTATGAATGTTGGAACTCTTAAATGACAATAATAATAATCCTTGCATTTGATATAGCACCTTATCACGCCTTTAAGAGGTCCCAAAGCGTTTCACAGAACATACTGTAAAGTGAATCACCATTCGCAAGACAGATTCACAAATAAAAAAAGTCATTAAACAAAACAGCAGTGGGAAAACTTTGGCTGTTTTGATTGCTGGAATATTTGTAACACCTTTTGGAGATGAAGAATGCATTATATAATCATAAAAGCATTGCATCAGTTTTAAAAGTCAATCAGAAAACATAAAGCAAATGATTTTAATTTTAATTTCTAACATAATTCTGGTACTAACACAATGCTCAAACTTACCAATCGGAAATGAATATGTGGGAAGAATCCATTCATAAGAGCACTTGCATCATATTGAAACTACCTGTGGCATCTTTAACATACTCTCAAAACAAATCAGATCACAATAACCCTTTATCCATCCTTTCAAGCTCCATTTCTTTGGGAGATCACCAAACTTTAGCTATCAAGTAAGAATGGCAGAATGCGAGCTGCTGCTAACTGTAGTACATTAGATTTTTTTGGGCAAGTTATTAAAGGATATTTTTAGCTGTTTTTTGTGCGTTGGGAGAGTAAACTGCTTTGTTTTTTAATAAAACTTATAATTTCTCCTATTCTGGGGAGGTTCTGGGTTTTGTTGTATTATTGTCTCCTGGAGTACTGATACGCACACAAACAGAAATAGCCGGGTTATGTTAACATTAGTGCATTCTGTATTTTGAACTATCTATTGAACAAATTCCAATTTTATGGCTACAGAAAGTCTTCCTTAATTGTCTATTAAGATACTTTTTAAAAAAAACATGGATGAGTTATAGAGGGTGGTTCTCCTCACATACAATTATAAGCCAGTCTCCATCTTCACTGTACTACTTTCTTGAAACAAATTACTGAGTTTTTATGCAACAGTCCTAGTGAACATCCCACACTTTCCATAATCATGCCCTCTTGTGGCTTCTCTACACTGCTAAGGATTGGTCACTAAAGCAAGTGCAAAACAACAGGCTTTAGTTCCAATCAGTTTGCATATTTTGTCCAGCAAAGGCATGCACTTCCCATCCCAGCATAAATGTTTTCATATCCAAATCCCTGCATCCTCTCGGGGATATAATAATCAAAGAGTTAAACAGGCTCAAAGGGCCTCCTCCTTTTCCTGTTTCCTAAGTAAGGCTACTTTGGATGAATTTTAACTTCAAAGCCCATGCTGAGGTTGCACAAGTTCATTTCCTGTGGGACTTTCATTGTCAGTTTAAACATAGAACACAGGTTAAAGAACAGGGTGCCAAATACTACAAGGACATTAACTATTCTGTACTATTTTGAAAATAGTCCTACTGTAAAGAACCATAAATGATTCGATCCACTTGTACAAATCAAATTAGAATGGAAAAGGTTTCCATTTTCTGGACAATTGGGACCACTACTGGGGAAGGTGGGATCTTTACCTTGAGGATGGGCGGCACTTAAGCAAGGCAGGGGTGAGCTTCCTTGCCAAGACATTATCAAATGCTGTAGGGGCGGATTTAAACTAGTGTCGAGGGGGGGTGGGTATGCAAGGGTAAACAATGAATTAGAGATTAGAGGAAAAAGACAAGTGGGAAGTGTAGAGCAGGTACAAGCAGACAATTTCCTCAAATGCATGTACCTAAATGCACGTAGCCTAGGGAATAAGGTTGATGAGCTGCAGGTTCAACTGGCCGTAGGGGTTACGATGTGGTGGCAGAAACCGAGACATGGCTCAAGCCAGGACAGGAATGGGAGTTAAATATTCCAGGATATAATGTGTTTAGGAAGGATAGAGAAGGAAAAGGAGGCGGGGTGGCAATATTAGTTAAGGATACAATTATAGCTGTAGAAAGGAACGAGGCTCTGGAGGGCCCGACAACAGAATCCATCTGGTTAGAGATAAGAAATAAGAAAGGAGTGGTTACACTGATAGGGGTTTACTAGAGACCACCAGACAGCGGGAAGGAGATAGAGGAGCAGATCTGCAACCAGATCGCGGATAGATGTAAGGCGAACAGATAATGTGGTGATAATGGGGGATTTCAATTATCCCAATATAGACTGGCAAAATAGCAGCACTAAGGGCAAGGCAGGAGAAAGATTCATAGACTGTGTACAGGAAAATTTTCTTGAGCAGTATGTCTCCAGTCCTACGAGGAAGGAAGCATTGCTGGATCTAGTCCTGGGGAATGAAATAGGTCAGGTTGAACAGGTTTCGGTAGGGGAGCATCTAGGTAACAGTGACCATAATATTATTAGATTTAGATTACTCATGAACAGGGACAAAGTACAGTCAAGGGTGAAAATGCTTGACTGGAAAAGGACTAATTTTGATGGGCTAAAAAGGGACCTAGAGTTGGTGGACTGGCAAGTAAGACTAGCAGGTAAAACGACTCATGAGCAATGGGAGATCTTCAAAGATATGATAGCTCAAGGTCTAAATAGATATATTCCCACAAAAGGGAAATGTGTGACAACCAAGCCAGCCTGGATGACCAGGGATATTCTGTCTAGGATGAAAAAGAAGAAGACGGCGTACGACAATTGGAAGACGCAAGATACTGAGGATAGCAAAGCGCATTATAGAGAATGCAGGAGTGATCTTAAAAGAGTGATAAGACAGGCTAAAAGATCGCATGAGAAGAGGTTAGCGGGTAACATAAAGGGGAATCCTAAAATATTTTATAAGCACATAAAGGAAAAAAGGTTAGTTAAAGGTCAGGTGGGGCCAATCAAAGACAATGACGGCAATCTTGTTGTGGAGGCAGAGGTCATGGCTGATGGACTGAACGAGTACTTTGCATCTGTCTTCACAACGGAAATGGATGCCCCAAATGCCGCAGTATTGGATGAGAGGGTAGAGGAAATAGATCAGATTACTATAGACAGAGAGGAAGTTCTGAAAAGATTGACTGGGCTCAAAATTGATAAGTCACCAGGACCAGATGGGTTTCACCCAAGGTTGCTGTGGGAGATACGGGTTCAAATAGCGGAGGCTTTGGCCATTATATTTCAATCTTCATTGGACACAGGAGTGGTGCCAAGAGACTGGAGAGTGGCTAATGTTACCCCCTCTACAAAAAGGGGCAGAAAGACAAACCCGGAAATTACAGGCCAGTCAGCCTAACTTCGGTAATAGGAAAACTACTGGAGACCATAATCCGGGACAGAATAAATCTCTACTTAGAGGAACATGAGGTAATTAGAGACAGCCAACATGGATTTGTTAAAGGCAAATCTTGCCTAACAAATCTAATAGAATTTTTTGAAGAGGTGACTGCGAGGGTTGATGGGGAAAATGCGGTGGACATTTACATGGATTTCAAAAAGGCTTTTGACACAGTACCGCATAAGAGATTAACAAAAAAATTAGAGGCCCACGGTATTAAGGGGACAGTGGCAGTTTGGATTAAGAACTGGCTGAGTGACAGAAAGCAGAGGGTGGTGGTTAATGGGTGTTTCTCGAAATGGAAGGAGGTGTGCAGCGGTGTCCCCCAGGGATCGGTATTGGGACCACTGCTCTTTCTAATATATATTAATGATCTGGACTTGGGCATAGAGAGCACTATTTCCAAGTTTGCAGATGATACAGTTTGGTAGGGTAGTAAATAGTGAGGAGGACTGTAACCAACTGCAAGCAGACATACACAGAATGGTGGAATGGGCTGACATGTGGCAGATGGATTTCAATGTGGATAAGTGTGAGGTGATACACTTAGGTAGGAAAAATGATAGGAGGCAATATAGACTTGGTAGCTCAATCTTAAGGGGGGTGAACGTACAGAGAGATCTGGGTGTTCAAGTAAGTGAATCATTAAAGGTAGTGGGGCAGGTAGATAAGGCAGTAAAAAAGGCATTTGGTGTACTGAGCTTTATTAGTAGGGGCATAGAGTATAAGAGTAGGGAGGTTATGGTTAATCTATACAAAACACTGGTTAGGCCTCAGCTGGAGTACTGGGTCCAGTTCTGGGCACCTTACTTCAGGAAGGACATTAAGACACTGGAAAGGGTGCAGAGGAGATTCACAAGAATGATACCAGGAATGGGGAACCTTAGCTATGAGGACAGGCTGGAGAAGTTAGGACTTTTCCCATTAGAGCAGAGAAGGTTACGCGGGGACCTGATAGAGGTCTTCAAGATCATGAAAGGTTTCGACAGGCGAGATAAGGAAAAGCTGTTTCCGCTGGTAGGTGTGTCTGTGACCCGTGGTCACAGTCTTAAGATATCTACCAAAAGAAGCAGAGGGGAGGTTAGAAGAATTTTTTTCACTCAGCGAGTTGTTTGAATTTGGAATGATCTGCCTGAAAGGGCAGTGAAGTCCGATTCGATAACAGCTTTTAAGAGAGAACTGGATAGGTATCTGGGGAAGACGGGTTTGCAGGGTTATGGGGAGAAAGCTGGTGATTGGGGTTAGTGAAAGTGACTTGCTCTGTCAAAGAGCCGGCACAGACTCGATGGGCCGAATGGCCTCCTTCTGTGCCGTAACATTCTATGAATCTATGAATATCATCTTATAGTGAATTGACAGGTGTTTCAACATATCTTTTAATATACAAGTTCTTAACAGAGTAACAGTTTTTCCCAAAGTAAAAATCAAATGTTTTTTCTTCACTTTGTGACTTTATTTGTAAAATATTGCAGCCACCAGAATGTTCATATATGTACCATACATGCATTGCCCCCATTCCATTTGCACAATTTTGCCTCCAGCTAAAACTTTAGACAAGATCATATATTACACAGTTATCTAAATTGTAGAGAGCAGAACCATACAAAGATAGGCGCTTCATTGTGTAGGAACACAAACATCCTAATCACTCACAAATTGTATTCTCATTCAGCTGCCCAGACCCAACAAATCTGTAATTTCACAAAGAACAAGTACTTTATTGGAGTTATAGCAACCTGAAGCATTTGAACTAAACATCACCTTTAATAATAGTTTTACATCATATGCATAAAAGTACCAGCAAGTTCATCATGAACTTTGTTTTGCGGGTCCAGCAAATTCCATTCATTTGTGAATGAAGAGTTTGAACAGTTTTTTACATTTGCAGTGTGCGACCATTTATTTTCAGGCTGCATTTAGGCAAGTTTTAGTACAGGCTGGTTTCTTAGTGATGTGCAAACTCACTCTTATTAAAGAGCTACTGATTACTAAATGCACCTATATGGGGGAAAAAGGGGCACAAAACTATCTTTTGTGCTGTAAACAAGATGATTTCTTTACACGGTGGAAGCTCATGAACTGCTTAATAGAGCAAACAATAAATCCTCTTTGAGAAGGAGTGGATTCGAGTCTTGGGCAGGTCCGAGAATACTTGCATTTGGCGTAGATTTTCTGTACTGTTACAGAGCACAACCTAAAGGAAGCTTCAGTAAAAAAAATTAAAAAGCACTAGTGACTTAAAATCAAGGAAAGGGCCCACAGCCTAAAAACAATTCCCTAATAAGAGCATGCAGCACTGTTCTGATCTGCAAAGACTCAATTATTCATCAGTGTCTATGATGTAGCTCAAACACAGTAGAAGCAAAAGGGATTGTTGATTATGATTGTACTTTCAGAACACCTAAGGTCAATACCTCATCTCTTGTCATTGCGACACTCATTACGTTTTATACATTACTGATTTGTGTAAAGATTGCAATTACTCTGAAGAAAGCAGCAATTACAAGTAACTCAAGTTTTTTTTTACCATACTGTAGTGTCATAGCAGTCCCTTTTGCCTGCATGACTGAGTCAGTCAATATGCCAACAGTTTACAATGATTTAGCACAAGGGACATTCCACTCCAAGGAATTGGGATCTTTCATGAATGACACCATTTTTCACATAGATTCTCATGTAGACAACCAAATTCACCCTGTGGATAGACACCCTACAAAGAAAGGGCAACAAAACAGCATCCTGACTTGTGATCCACAGACCTAGATGTGGCAGCTACAGTCAGCATCTCGGAGGACCATCTTCATGGCATTTAAAAGTTTACAGAGTGCATCACATAAAGGACATCAGTGTGTGACTAGATGCTGTTTACAGTTAAGCATTTCTACTGTGGTAAAGACAGCCATGATTGTGGTGAGAATGTAGCTGACTATGTTTCAGTACGCTGCAGATTTAAATATTTCATCCTCACTAAGGTCTGATAGATGGGTTGCAAATTTCAGTCCCCTCGCAACGCCCAAAGTTTCAGGATCTTGCTCGCTGGCGAGTGCAAGGCCGCTCAAGTTCAGGTGTACCTTGGCATTTCACACTGTTCACAGCGATTCAGCGCTGGGTGGTTGAGGAAGGTGCAACTGTTACAATTCCATGGGGCACCTTCAAAATCTTCATCTCTTTGATGAGGCCTTGGGCTGTACTTCATAGCGTGACCATGCTCTGCAATAAAAGTGAAACCAAATTTAGACAATATGACAAAGGCAAAGGAATTTCATGAAAATTAACATGATCTCCCCATTCAGTTTCCAAAAATACTGAAAAAGATTTTAAGATACAAGAATGACGGAATCAGTACAAACAATGCAATGTTTAACATGTAAAAAAAACATTTTCAGCATCATCTCAACTAGGTACAAATAGATTTGAAGTTTCCCGAGACTCATTTTTGGTAACCAAATTTACCAATAAGGCTATATTTTTAATTCTTTGTGGTGATACAGTACTGATATATTGAGAAATGACCACACTAACATTATTAAAATGCCTATAAAGTAGCTAAGGTGCTACAACTTTCCAGCTTTGTGAATTTGTCTAGATTTTAAAAATCAAGTCCACTGCAACATGATGTGAATTTACATTGTTTGAACAAAATGCCCAGCGCTGTATGAATATCAAATCATCCAATTCAAAACAATGTAGAAATGAAACCAGGATAGATTTCTACTATAGGTCAAGAAAGCAAAAAACATATTCCAAGGGACTGGATGATATATGGTTATTTAGCATTTTGACCTCAACATGCTGCAGCTGTAAGAAAAATAAAATCATACATAATCATACTTCAATGGTGTTGCTATTCTTAACCTATTGCTTTAATTGCTTTTTCTATCATTGATGACAGACCTGTAAGAAACTGTACTTAATCTTAGTCTTATATAGTTCTAAATGCTCCCTCCAGAACATCAAAGTTTGAAAGGAGATCAAAAATACTGTTGAATGTTTCTCAGACTTCAAATCAACACAATAAAACATTTTGCTACACCTGTCAAACTTCACTAAAATTCAAGTGACAAAATTCAAACCTCTCCAAGTCAAAGGAACAGTCATGCATTGATCAGACATTTAACCATAAACGAAGATCAGATTTTCAGCTGAAAACGCAAAAGAGATTTAATCATATACTGGAATTATGGCTTCAAGAGGTGATCTAATGTTCCACCTTCCCTTTTTAATTGTGGAAACTATTAGGTCCTCTCTAATTCCTGCTTCCTTATTAAAGGTAAATAGAATACTAGCAGATATACCAGACACACTGTGATACAATCATAATTCATACCATTACTTGAAAGATTTACTGTGAGAAAGTTATATGAATTGTAATTTTGATCATATCCAAAGGATTGTAGCTTCTTAATAAAACATCCTTGAAAACTATCAAAACTTGCGTTCTGACGAAGTGTCGTGGACCCCAAACGTTGACTCACTTTCCTTTCTCCATAGATGCTGCCTGATCTGCTGAGTGTTCCCAGCGACTTCTGTTTGTCTTTGAAACTATGTTATGGTCATCCACTGCTATAGACTTTGGCCATTCAGAATGCTCATTGTAACAGCCAAGCCATCTGAAGCTTGTCTGGAGCTTGGAAGTCCTTTTGGCAAAAAAAAATCCTTATGTATGGTCAAAAAGGTATAACATCAATCTTCTATAGATATCAGAATGAGTCATAGGTCACTTTGATGTTAAAATCCATTAAACAACTTACAGATTGGCTCAGATTTAGAAAATGCATTCTGAAGCAGACCTTGTATGTTAAATTGTGTCAAATTGCTTTACAGATAATTGCAATGACGTAATTAGCTCTCAAACATGGAAGCTCTTTTATGTAAAAAAAACTTTGCTTGGAATTTTTAGCATGATATACACAATGTGAAGTCATGGTCTGGGCCAATAAAATAGTGTGAAAATATTTGCCCAAAATTGCGGCGAGATTTGAAGGGAAAATTGCGGGGAAATGTTTGGCAAAAGTTGATTGATGCTATTGAGATACATTTTACTGCCAACCTACATTTTTTCATTTTAATGATAAAACATGAGGAAACAGCATGTTAAGATTGCTACAAAAATAATATTAATTGTTTCTTTAACAGAAACTGGTGGCCTTTTATGGGGGGGGGGGGGGGAGGGGGAATAGCGGACACAAGTGAGGCAACAGTTGCTCCCAGGGCCCAGCACCACACACAGAGACACACACACAGATGCTCACAGACACAAAGATACACACGCACTCACAGAGACAGAAAGATACACACACACAGAAGCAACAATCACAGAAACAGATACACATACACATAGACACAGAGAGAGATACACACACACTCACAGCCAGAGACGCACACACTCACAGAAACAGAGGCACATACTCAAAAACAGAGAGACACACACTTAGACACACACAAACACAGAGAGACACACACACACTCATAAACACAGAGACACGCACATTCAGACATACACATTCTCAAAGAGACGCAGGCACACCCACAAAACACACACAGGAAAGGGAGTCACAGATATATTCATATAGACACCCACAAACAGAGAGACACACCCACATACACACACACAGACAATCACAAAAGTGGGGCCTCCGAGTGAAGCCCATTTGTCGCTTGCCCCACTGCACCGCGCATCTGGAGCTGCCAAGCCCAGGGTGACGTCAGGGTAACAGCAGCGAGCCCCGCGGACCAGAAACTACATTGATAGCGAGTTTGTAGTGCGGGGGGAGGGGGGGGGGTGTTTACAGCAGATTCTGCCGGAAAGCTGCAGCTGCACTTTTCTATTGGACCAGGTCATGGTCTAATAAACGGAAGCTAGTATCAGGAAGTGTCTTCCTGCAATGGACTGATTTTATGGTCACGCTTTGAAAGTGGTGCCAAAAATCCCATCAAACTCAATATGCGTTTTTAAGTTTAGTCCTGATTGCCTAAAATAACCTTAGAAAAAAGAAAATATGCCCCAACAGACATTAAAACAGGTGCAGCGTGGGCATGTATTTATCAAATAACAGGTGCACAAACTGGAAATATTGGGAGGGAAATAATGAAAGAAGAAATGAGATCATATTCCTGTAACTCTGCCTAGGTGATTCAAAGCAGCAAGCACTCTAGTAAGTCGCATTGTGTGGAGGATAAACAATTAGTACTGCTTAGATGGAGTTGGGTCCTCAGTGGCTAAATCTATTGAAAGGAGTGGTAAAGGTACGAGGTCAGCCATACAAACATTTAAGATCCTAGGTTTGATTCTCTGATTGGTTCCAATTTAGCTGGCCTGAGCCTGCAGCCCAGTTTATCTCAGCGACTCAAGAAGAGGGTGAGAGATTTTTCATCAGGCTGGCACCCATGGAACAGTATGCCATTTGCCATGAGTCACAATTTTCTGGAGAGGGGAGAAAATAATAATACTGCTTAAATATACTGAGGCAAATCAATTTAGCAATGGGTGACTGATCCAGCAACCAGACCACTGCATACAAAATAGTGCTGGTCACAAAAAGCTCCTTCTTGCTGTGCTTTCCTTTACTTTACTAAGTTGTAATAAATAAATTGCAGAAAATGTACCTTAAACTGAAATAAGATTTTGTGGCAGCAAAAATGTAAAGAGCTCAAGTAGGAAATTTACTCTGCTTTATGAATATATGTTCTCTGCTCTTGAAGCTGCCAACTCTTTCTGAGTAAAATGCCACAGGTGCTACCAATTCTCAAGTACTTTGCCTGATGGGACTGTGGCTTGTGTTCATACACAATTACTTTTGGGAGGGGGAGAAAGGAGTTCAATACTAGATACAAATAAGAAACAGAAAGATCCATAAACTTTTTTTTCTCTCTCACCAGGATAGTTGAAGTCAATTGGAGGACCCCAACTGCTTGCCTGCTGAGATCAGCTAACTCAGCACAGAACTGAAACAAACCATCAACCTTAAAATTTATATGGGTTCATTTTTAAAAATGTAATGGGAGTGTTTTGGCGACACAGAAGAAAGTATTTCTAAGGCAGCTCAACATGTTTTAAATTGGAAGGAGATGGGTATCTCTAGAATACAGGATCATTAGCTGATCTGTAGTAATACCCATTGAAACCACAGTAAAAACCTTGAAACCACACACAGAATCAAAAATATAGGTTAGGTTATCATAGAATCATAGAACTATACAGTACAGAAGGAGGCCGTTCAGCCCATCGTGTCTGTGCTGGCTCTTTGAAAAGAGCTATCCAATTCAATTCCACTCCTTCGTCTCTCCCTATAGGTCTGCAAACTTGTTCTCCCCAAATAATTATCTATTCTTCCCCGAATAATTATCTCTAGATAATTATACAATATCTTGTATATTGATAAAAATCGATATACCGATATAATGATTTTTAAATATAATTTTCTTCAATACCCTCAACCCTATCCCACACTGCTGATTTTAATTTAGGCAGTAAAAATGGGGGAGGGGGAGGAAGAACAAGGAGATCAAGGAGATTTTGTTTGCAAGGGTAATGCTGGATTATTTAGTTTTTTCTCCTTCAAATAAAGCTGAGAAGTGTTCTGTCTAGTAACTATCTAGGGGGGAGGGCGGTAGGCAGTCTCCTTGGTATTGAGCTGGCTCCAAAACAACATGCTTGACAACAGATGTTGAAATAGTTAAGCAACCCTATGTGGTGGTCTCAGTAATTCAATTTCTGAGAAACATGGGTCTGCAGTATTCCAAGCACTGCTGATGCCAGATCATCCAGTCTGGTTCGTTGGCAGAATTGTGGAGGGGTAGACTGGCTAGAGATTCTTTCCATGCAACTCCTGTTAACTTTGCAAGCCAAACCCCTAAACATTAGGGTTGTTATAACTGGACAAGCAGCAAGAAGCTTGCCAGACAGTACTTTCATTGCAATTTATACAATTTTGCAAGTTAAACTCCAGCAGTATCCCACTGCATGTTCAGGGGACCCCAAGCCTTGACTCTCATCAACCTGTACATCAACAGGGAGACATGGAGCAGGCCGGAGCTCGCTGAACGGAGGGAGCGGGCAGGTTGGTAGGGAGTCAGCAGGCCAGAGAGGTAGGAGGGGGCAAGGCCATGAATGGCCTTAAAAGTGAGGACGAGGATCTTGAAATCGATCCCCTGGGGGTTGGGGAGCCAGTGGAGTCGGGCGAGGGTGGGAGTGATTACCTGCCTCTTCCATTCATAAGCTGCAAACTATCCAGAACTCATGTCCATTTCCACATTCGGCTCCATGATCTGACCAACCCTATCCTGAAGCGCTGTAGCGTATTGGTTAGAGCACTCGCCAGCGAGAGCACACGGGTTCAATTCCCAGGCAGGGGGAAAGGTTAGGCAAGTTTTCTTACTCCTCACACTTCTGTTTACCAAGCAGTAAGTAGGAACCCAGTTGTTAAATGATTGGCGGATCGCTAATCCAGGGGTAATAATCCCTTAAAAAAAAATTTGGTCACTCAATCCACGACTGTTTGTGGGACACTGCTGTGCGCAATTGGCCACCACATTTCACCCACAAAATATACAGTCCATTCACTTTACAGTATATTCTGTGAAGCACTTTGAGCCATCTTGAAGAAGTGATAAAGAGCTAAATCAAATGCAAGGATTATTATTATTATTTATCAAATCTCAATAAGCACACCTCTGTTGACCAGGCAGTAAGTAAGTAGGAACCCAGTTGTTAGTTGATTGGCGGATCGCTTTTCCGGGGATAATAATCCTGAAGAAACTCCCCAATAATTTGGTCACTCAATCCACAACTATATGTGGGACACTGCTGTGCGCAATTGGCTGCAGCATTTCGCCCACAAATATACAGTCAATTCACTTCACAGTATATTCTGTGAAGCGCTTTGAAATGTCTTGAAGACGTGAAAAACGCTATATCAAAGGCAAGGATTATTATTATTATAAAGGCTAAACTGTTAAGTCAAGCCCCCAGTACTGGTAGTCCAACACTCCACTACTGAAGCTTCCAGGTCACTCCTTGTTTTTTTAAAATCATTGAATCTTCCGTTCAGTTTAATATTAAACAATCATCTGGGTCAAAAAAGAATTCAACTCATTAATCATCAGTATTAAATAGTCTCCCTTCACAGAACATTCCGTGAGTTTGTGTGTTACTGTTTGAATAACATTGTGAACTATTACTCGATCCCACGTCCTCCCAAAAAACACCTATGATGTCCCAACCATTTTGGCAAACATATTTACAGTTACAAATTAAATACAATCAACAAAATATACAGTCAATTCACTTTATAGTATTTTCTGTGAGCACTTTGAAACGTCTCAATGACGTGATAAGGTGCTTTATCAAATGCAAGGATTATTATTGTAATACATCGTGCCCTGCTAGCTTTCCTGGGCAATATTACTGAGCGTACAGTAATGCAATACGTAAAAAATACAATAAAACTCAACTTCATACTTAAGCTTCCTACAGTGGATCTGCTGCTGTAGGTAAAACAGTAAGAGATCAGCAGGAAACAGGAATAGTTCTGCCCCATATTCATTGTAACAAACAATTGCAGTTTTTAATCTTGAGGAAATGCAATACAGAAAAAAACTGAGAAATTCTACATTCTAAAGATGGACAAGGTCTTTAGATATTTAATTCTGTAACACACTTTGACGATAAGCCCTGATAATCAACAAATGCATAACTATAAAAAAAACTTGTGTAAATATTATGGTGTTGAAAATAAACAGAGTAGTTACACAATACTGAAGATAACACTGCAAAGATAGTCAAAAGAACAATCAAAAGGTTTTCCTGTTTTAATGCAGTGTTCAGACTTTGAAAGGATTAAGCAAAAAAAATCATAATGTTTTAAACCACATTCTGGATTGGTCCTTCTGCCTGATTAACTGTGAATATCTACTCCAATCTGGTTATCAGGTGATATTCACGGAAGTACCCACCCTCAGCTGGAGCAGCCTGGGAATCAGAGGAGTCCTTCTTTAACTTTGAGGTCACACTAATTTTCCTTGCTTTTCTTTCTAGAGTATCTGAAGGGTCTGTACAAGACAAGTCATGAAGATTGAGAGGGATAAAGGGGCAAACCTCTAGTAACCTAAAACACAACCCCAAACAAATAGAAAAGACACCACCACTAGATACAGTAAAAACATATTTCTTAACTACTTATCTAGCCATTTCACACCATTGTAATAAACTACTGATGAAGAGAAACCCAACACAAACACAGAGCAACTGAAACCTCCAGAAAACTCAAGATTCATGCACAGTCAGTCAATCAATCCTCCATAAACACTTCTGGCGGGATAGCACTAAGGCTAGAAAACAAATTCTTTACGTGAATTTGATCATATTAAAGATAGCCTTAAGATTCTGCTTAATGCAAATTATTTGTAAATAATGGAATGAATAAGCATTATAGGAAAGTTCAATTCAAGCATATTTTTGTTGAATGTTATATTTACTTTGGAGGACTATTTTATTGCCAATGCATACACCATTTATAATATATTGAATATCTGCTGATTGGAACAAATTAAAAATCTGACACACTTGGCTTCAAGGCATAGCGAATGAATGCCCTGCGAATAATTTGAACAAAAACATTCAAAACCATTTTAACATGGCTATGTTACAATGTAGCAAACAGATGAAGCTTTTTGGAAGGCACAAGTTAAATTTCAGAAGATTTCTGTTGTGAAGTTGAGTTATCCATTAACCAGAAGATTCTAATCCAAAAACATGTACCTTAGAATTGAGAAATGATGACTAGAAATACACACAAGAATTATTTTAATTTGGCATAATTCTGTTTCAATTGAAAATATACAAACCATTTGCAAAATTACCAAAGCTGTTGTCAGTTTAGTTTAAAATGACAAATGCTAATCTCCAAGCTGAAACTATGAACAGATGTATTTTAGTTTATAACAGCTGCATGCAATTTTTAGTGTGATACTCTCAAATTCAAAAGTCAAACGTTGCCTCAAGGCGCCCCTAAATTTATTCACTCCTCTTATGAATTTTGAAAAAAATCTTCAGTGATCCAACACACCCATTTTATTTGCCCTAATCATTCCCTTTTAATTTCCTCACTCTTGACTTTCATTCACCATTTCACATTTTATTCCTTGACCAAAGCAATAGCTAGATGCCATGTTCTGAGTGTTTTATGCTTTAGGTTATTACTACATTTGCCATTTCATTCCCCTTCCTTGAATGAAAGCATGTATTAGTTTTGTAATTTCTAAGGCTACCTTATTAAAAGTGGGATCTCAATGTGTGAATTCCATGAGGAAACTGTCTTACTGTTTAATTGTGCAGTACATTTGTACACAACATGTTCCTACCCGATTATAACAACAATGGCACACATTATTTGATAACTATGGTTATCGCTGCAAGTATAACTGCATATAAAGGATAACAATTCCATTCAGCAAGTGATAGTTCACAATCAAACCTTGGTAGATAAATTTCACGGTAATGCAGCACAAACTTGTTCAAAAAATTAGAATGTATGATATTAGTGGAAAAGTAGCAACATGGACAGAAAGTTGGTTAAAGGACAGGAAACAAGAGGGTGACAGTACAGGGTTGCTATTCGCAATGGAGATGTAAATAGTGCTGTACCCCCAGGGTCAGTGTTAGGACCATTTATTTTCTACATTTATAATGATCTGGATTCTGGAAAAAGGGGCACATTTTCTAAGTTTGCAGATGACACAAAAATAGGAAGTGTATTTAACAATGAAAAAGATTGTAAACAACTTCAGGGAGACAAACAGATTGATTGATTTGGCACAGAAATGGCAAATGACAAGTGTGAGGGTATACATTTTGGGAGGAAGAATAAGAACCAAGTATATATTGGGTGGTAAAATATTAAAAGGAGTGATATAGCAAAGAGTTTTGGGATTAAGGTACATCATCCTTAAAGGATTAAGGAAAGGCAGGTAGACAAAGCTGCCAAAAGCTAATGGAATCTCAGGTTTTCTAAATCCGAATATAGAATATAAAAGGAAAGAGGCAATGCTAAACTTATATAAATCATTAGTTAGACCTAGTTAGACTAGAGGGCATCAATTTTAGTTAGTAAATGAACAAACAGAAGATTTGTTTTTCACGGACAGGATATGAAATGCCTTGCTGGTAGCAGTGGTTGAGGCAGAATCTATATTGGTCTTCAAGAAGGGAACTTGATAGGTACCTTAAAAATAGTTAGCTACAGGAGGTATGGGGTTAAGTGGGATTGAAAGGATTACTTTCAAGGAAGATTGGCACAGACACAATGAGCAGAATGACCTTCTTGGCCGTAAATTTCTATGGTTCTAAACATACAATTTATTTCTCAGTGTTGGCTATAAGTTTAGCTTGCTACCTCATAAAATTAACATTGGATCACAATCTACAAAGGTGTAAAAATGTCACCATATTCAAAAAGATGGATCAAAATATGGCTTCATGAATCAGAAAAATAAATGCAGCCCATCAGAATTACCAATAATATAGAATTACAAAATCCCAACTCACAATTCCCTAATGAATGCTACAGAAGTTATCCCAATCCATTTAGAGAATACAGGAATATGTGAACTTCTTCAACCAGCTGAATAATGCTTTAAAAGCATTCCACATAGCTACGCTCCTGCTATTGCATTGCGTTTGTTCTAATATCTGCAGTTTTAATGATTATCATGTGGAAAGAGAAGCAAAGTGTTTTGTTTGTTGTGTGCCAAAGACAGAAGAGGAAATCTGAATGCCTGCAGTGAGTGGAAATGTCCTCTGGTAATAGGTTACAATTTACAATATATTCTGGTTTAGTCCAGAGGTACACAGTAATCTTCTACTCTCTGATCAAATGTACAAATGTCAAACCCCTACTAAATCAACTCTACTTCATGACATGCTTACGAAATCAACTCAACTCTACTTCCTGACATGCCTACTAAATCAACTCAACTCTACTTCCTGACATGCCTGCCTATTGATTGAAAAGCATGCCTGCCTTTAATTGGAAATTCAGTGGGTTTTAAGTTAAAGATGCTGAATGAGGACGAATGCAAAAAATACCCCTCTATATATATATATATATTAGAATGCACTATATTTTGGAAGTGTGCAATATTTCTCTGCATTTGAAACCAAAACACAAATGAAGAGCTTCACATCGGTATATAAATGCGAGGCACAGTTTCACATCCAAATAGTGTTACTTGTCCTGAGTACTTTTTATTATTAATAACAACCTGCTTTTATATAGTACCTTCCATGTAAAATAGTGATTTATAAAATATAAGTCGTTAGAAATGAAAGTACATCTTAATTGGTCAAACATGAGCCAATCTATGCCAACAACGTTCCACAAACAACTTGATGAGCAGTGAATTAATTTGATTTGGTGGTAAATTTGGATAAGGAAGGGAATATAAGTTACGATAACCAAGAGGAATACTCCACCTTTCTTGAAAATAGCATTGGCAGTGCGGACCCTTTACATCCATCTTAACAAGGCAAATAGTACCAAAATGAATACAATCCCGAATGGAATGTTGATCTGGACGCTCAATCAATATGTGTATTATAACATAAAAACTTAGGAACCATATATATATATATAATATTGTGGAATTTCCAAAATGAGTCCATTGTATTGGCTTCACCAACCCTTTCTGGTAATCCATTTCAGCAATGAATTACACTTTGTATATAGGATTATTTTGCTTCTGCCCTAAACTTATTCTTCATAACTCTGAACTATTCCTCTTTTGGAGTATCAAAATACTGTTAGAGATCTACTTTATTGGGTCTGTTAAAAATATCTATAAATACATTGAGGGTTCTCACTATCAAAATGATTATTAATCACTATCACGTGATCCCTGCAGGAAAGTCTACATGCGGAACTCAGCTAAAGAGAGGAATTGGCTAGTGTGAAATAATTCTTGGCCAAATTGAATACCAATACACAGAATCGCTACTGTATATTCTTTTTCTGATGTGTGGGAGGAATAAGAAAGCAATAACTAGGATAGGTATTTTCTAATCCATAGTGCTATCCCTGGTATAGATAGAGCCAAAAGAGCCCGAAGAATTTACAAGAAAAAAAATATTCCCAACATTGCACATCATTCAGTCAATAACGTACCTTTTTTGCTAGACTTTGGGGGAACAGCTCCGACAGGGCCAGTTAGTCCCATATTGTCATAAAAATTGTTTATGGCTTTTGGATCAAAATTCCCTGAAAGAGATCACAATATTTTAAAAATTACAAAGTAAAGTTGTTTCTTCATTAAAATTACATTCAATATGGTCTGAGTATGTGAATAAAGTAGCTAACAGTTATATAATACTCCCCTTTGTTGCTTCAGTCTAAATGTGCTGTTATTGAATTCAGGTTGTTCGATGCTCTCAAACATTTCATTTGAGAGGTTTTCCTTTACAATTAAGTAAAACCCAGCAAGTTTTAATAGAAAAATTCCTATCAAATCTCAATGAATTTTCATTAACACAAAAAACATTGATTCACATTTGCAGTATTGGAAATCAGTTTCCATTTTGGACATAGAATGTCAGCAACAACCACATCAGATCATACAATGGCATGAACAGATAAAGTCACAATAGTGAGGGATGTGCTGGCCATACTCTAAAAGCTAATAAGATGATCTACTTTGTAGCCAATTAGCCTGTACATGTACGACTCTCCCATAGATTGCAATGCATTGATACCTAATGGCAAAAAGACAGAAATCAGTTGTGATTTGCACACTACAGTAAGTTACCTCTAACTACAGTAAGTTACCTCTAACTACAGTAAGTTACCTAGCAGTGTATGACCATGCTTTTGGTCATCTTTCCCCTCTCCGACCTCCTTAACTCCCATCCCTATCATCCAGCCCAGTGAAATGCTCAAGACGTCCTCCCAACACGAGAGGTGCCATATAAATGCAAATCGTATTTTAAGCAGTCACCAGGAAGGACTTAATTATTCTGATATTCATATAATAAAAGATGTAATGCTCAACATCTTTTTTTTAAATAAAAGGGGCCAAATACTCATGCCGGACGGAGTCCACTGGTAGCTTTTGGAATAAAGAAAGCGTCTCCAGGAGTACGTGAATTACAATTGGGGATGCAATAACTTATTAGATCCACCATCCTCAAGAATTTCACATTTCGAAGCTGCTTTTTAAAAGTTTTTTTTAAGATTTGATTTCATAATTCATTGTTCCCTCATTGCACTACTTAGGATTGCTATCTGGTAAACAAAATTATCTTGGATTAATTACAGAAGCCAAAAGCCAGTTTGTAATACTTCCATCTAGAAAATAGAGCATAAGATTACGTAAAGATTTCTTAAAATCAGGTAAATAAAGATGGTTGCTGGTCCTGAAAGGCAATTTTAGTAAAAGGATAAGAACTACAAAGATGCATTCTACATCATATGATACACAGGAGTATATAATTGTGTGCACGTCTTAAAACAAAAAAGGTCTAAAGACTTTTTGAATTACAACATGGACAGATGAAAAAAATGGACACTAATCTGATTTTAGAATGTCATCTCTTGGTTTCACTTCCAATACCAGTCATCTTTTTAAACCAAGATTGACAAATTGCAGGCAGTTTGCACTGTGGAATTATGAAAAGCAAATATGAACTGGGTTAAAACTGTACAACTCATTTTATGAAGAACCCTTACAGCTAGACAGAAGAAATTTTCCTCATCAATCTGGACTGGATTCAAAACGAGCTGCAAGAAGTAAAAAAAGTATATTAACCTACTACACCACCCAGTTCTCTCTCTTCAACCCTTCCCCCACCCACGAAAGATCAAGTTGAAACTTAAATGTGTATACCTTTGGTATGGTGTTTATTATTTGAATGTACTTTAGTCTCCAAATATCTTGAGGAATAAGCCCATTATTAAGCTGGGGATGTGTGAGGGGGAAATATCACTGAGCAAATGTTTGCTACAAGGGGAGGGGGAAGAGAGAGGAGAATCATGCAATCTTCCTCCAATCTGACACTGCATAAAAGCAGTGCCCACATTCAGTTTTTTTTAGTAGAAAAGGCAGCCTACTGTGTAGACTTGGATTATACAGTGAAGGAAATAATTTGTCAAAATTGAAGTCTAAACACTGTAAATCAAAGGAAATTTTTCATTCAGACAATGTACAGGACAATAAATAAGGTACACTAACTTTCTTTCTCATTGGTACATTTGAAGGCACGGCCAGGAAGAAATAAAAGAATGGTCTAATAAATGGGGGTGGGGTGGGGGAGAGAAGAAATGGTTTGATCGACTTGAACTTGGCAGTGTCTTTAGAATATTTCCATAAAAATATTTCAATAAAGACATAAAAAATCCTCGATTATGGTACTTTACAAGCAGTTCAGAGGTGGCCAATGCTCATACACCTATTTACTTCAAAGGCAGTTATAGAATATATATTTTCATTATGAACTGGTTGGTAACTCATTTAGCGATACATTGAAGATGGGAATAGGGTTAGATCTAGATTTCTTGTAAATATTTAATCTTCTTAACCACATAGACAAGCTCTGAAAAGTGCTTTGCTGTGTTGCTAGGGAATACAGTGACAGAAAACAAAATTTACAATTGTAACAGAAAGGGAGAATGTTTCATAGTGAGGGTGTACAGAGATAGGAAGGACTTTAAAACTGGATTTGAAAGCGGGGGTTTTGTAGGTGGGAGAGTCAGAGGAATTTTGGAAGAGCTCCAGATGGTGGGGACATGAAGCAGAGTTGGTGGAACAGATGGAGTGGCGGGGGAGTGGAGTCGCAGGGGATAGCAGAGGTAGAGTTGGGCAAGGACATAGAGGCATTTGAAGGAGAGGATCTCAAATTTGATCCACTGAGTGCGAGGAAGCAACACAACAATTATGAATGGAAGTCCTAGGTTTGTGTAGCATTGTATAGGAGAGCATGCAGTCTGCGCGAGTTCTAGATCATCTGGAGCTTCAGGAGGGTATAGCAGGGTATAGCAGGGGAGGCCAGTGAGTAAGGTGTTTGAAACATTGAGTCTGGAGGTAACAATGGATGAGCTTTTTGGCTACATTTGGGATGAGGTAGTGACAGAGCAGGCAACACTGAAGTGGACAAACCCTGAGTGCATGGTCTGTAAGGTAGATTGAGCAAACAGAGCTGGTTTTGGGGTTCGAACAGAACAGATGTTAAAATTACAGCAAAATTGTCATAATATAACAATGGGTGTAAAATTTATGCTGGCACAACAAATGCATTTCTTTTTGGTATTGCATAAAAGTGACACATTTTCTGCTGGATTCCTCCCCTTCCCAAAAAAACAAAAACTACCAGTTAAGGGAGAAAGCCCTTCACTTAGTTGTCTTTTTGTGCCCTTGGAAAGCTACAAAATGAATAGCTCAGTTTCAAATCAGTCTATGACAATGGATCCAACATGAACTGCATTTTGCAAGATGTTACATTTTCAGCGAAAGGTATATAGTGCAGTTCCAGATCACCTAGATCCAGGTTTTCCAGTTCTGTCTGGAACTGAACAGTCTGATTTACGAAAAGTGTTCAAAACATAGGAAATAGGAATCTTATTTTGGCTTTATACTTAAAATATATTTAAGGTACTTATCCAGCATGGCTCAATCAAGGATAACAAGCTGTTGGATTAAATTGTTTTGTTCTTGCCTAATAACATTCTATTGCTGAGATAGTAAAATGTTCCTTAGTAATTAATTATACTGATTAAACCAATAATTGCTGGGCATACAGAAAATGAAAAAATCCTCCAGGTCTTTACAAGGTTCCAGCATTCAATAAATCTCATCAGTGACTGGGAAAAGACATGCACTACAGGAAACCACCATTAAAAAGCGATACACAACATTAATTGTGCCCAGAAAGGATTTATTAAAAGTAATTCATGATAGCGAGACTTCATTAGAAATCACATTAGCAAAACAGCTCTAAAATGAGCTTAAACAAATTCTGATAAGTCCGCAGAAACCGCAACTTGCTTGGTAAACCCTTAATTAATAATACCCATAACAAATACATGCAACTATAGGAGGACTGACAGAATAGGGAAAAAATCTGGTTAAAATAATTAACTCCTGATATGCAAGTATGAAACTCTTCAGGTTTCATGTACACCTACCTGTCCAGCATCAACTGTCATGGATTTGCTTAAGGACACAGATGGCAATTCTAACGTTAATACCTCCCTCACCCTCTTAAAATGTAGTAAAAACCACAAACCTCCAGATTGTAAAAGGTCAATTTCTTTCAAAGTACAGTCAATGTCAATTTGGAGTTGTCGGTTTAGACTCCGCAGTTTAGTCATCTCCTCTGGCTGTGAAGATAAGAAAAAGATCATGAGAAAATACAGATTGCTTAAAATACAAAATAATGTACATAAACATGCTCAAAGGATGCACATCCTAGACCAGAGGTGCATTTCACTTGACCAACATTGAGTTGGTCAAGTGAAATGCACTGTTGTTCTAGGAATGTCCATACAATATCTGATTCAGTTATAACTGAACAATAGCTGAATCAGATATGGACATTGTAAACTATCAGATTGTGTATGTTGTCATTAAACCAAACTATAAGGCAAAATGACTCTGGATAGTTATAGAGAGTAAGTGCAAAGTGGCTGAAAGATTGGCCACTGATGGCAGGGTAGGATCAGGCTTGGTGTTTGCTGAGCAGAGTGGTGGGAGCAGTAGGATTGCAAAATATCGCAGAGGTAGGGTGGGGCAAACCCATGTAGGGATTTGAAAGTAAGCACCAAGGAATTCAATCTGCTGGGGAAAAGGGAGACGTACAGTGGAACCGAGCATTTGGGGTCATGGGCTCACACAGCCCAGGGTGGTTCAGGATAGGATACAGCGCAGAGTTCTGACTGTAACTTGTAAAGAAAGGAGGTGGAGAGTCCCGGGAAAAGGGTATTAGAATAATCGATAAAGGCATGAATGAGCCCGAGAAGAAAGAGAATGGCAGAGACAGGAAGTGAGTGAAAGGTGAGCAAATGAGACTGGATGTTGGGTTTGAAGGATATTTGAGGATCAAACAAGACATAGCGGTTCCACAAAGTTCATGGAGCATCTGTGCAGGTCAATGCACTCAATGCCTGAGGTGAGAAAGTGTAGGTGGGAGCCAAGCAGCAGTGATTAGTTCTTGGCATTTAGAATCATAGAATTATACAGCACAGAAGGAGGCCATTCGGCCCATTGTGTCTGTGCCTACTCTTTGAAAAGAGCTATCCAAATTAATCCCACTCCCCTGCTCTCCCCAATAGCCCTGCAAACTTGTTTTCCTCAAATAATTGTCTACTTCTTTCTTAAAAGTTGCTATCAAATCGGCTTCCACCACCCTTTCAGGCAATGCATTCCAGATCCGAATAACTCGCTATGTGAAAAAATTTCTCCTCACCTCTCGTTTTTTTTAACAACTATTTTAAATTGGTGTTCTTAGGTTACCGACCCACCCGCCGGTGGAATTTAGCTCTAGAAAATAAACTAAGCATTCATACACCAGAATTAGTGCAAAATTAATTATAAAATTGGATCCTAAAACCAACATTATACCATACTTGGTTTTGCTGTGCATTCATAATCAATGAAAGAAAACTTACAAACGTTTTGCACACATTTTGTTTGCTGGCATATTATTCTTGCTGTTAGAATAATAATTTTTCCTGTTGAATAATCATCTATAAATCTAAACCGGTAAGTACTGGTAAAAACATTACTCATCTTTAATAGGTGTTGTGGGCAGCACTCACTAATCATCGTTAAAATAATAAAAATCACGGATGTTTACCATTAGCTGTCCTTATGTCTGATGTACTATTTAATGTGAGTTCCTTCCCTCTAAAATTGTTTATTTTCCATTTATTACACAAATAGGTCAAGTTATCCCCACAGCATGACAAGGCAGATGAACGCACATCCACAGAAATATCACAGTAGAGGAATCAGAATAGGTTCAGAAGTAAGGGAAGAAGCAATATTGCATCTGGAGTAAATTGCATCTGGAGTTCAATTATTCAAATAACCTTTACACTGAGAATGCAATACAACATTTGGAACTTATTATTGGTAATCTCTTGGAAGGTAGGATCTATCTATTTAGCGTTTCAGTCATAGATGCGGTTTGGGAAAATCCTCATATCAGAGTAAACAGGTTAATTTGAAGAGACCGAGTCAAATGTGTGTATTAGGGATGATGACTTTGACCAATTTAAAAGTATTAAAGAAAAATGTTAATGTACTCCATAATCCAGTCTGAAAGACCGAAAGTAATCCCGAAAGCCCCACAACTTACTTACTCTCTTGCAGGATGCTGCTGCATAGACTAGGCATAAAGCCCTTATTAAAAATGCATCGCCTGAAAGAATTGCATCAGTGGTTTGTAGGAAGTGGTACTAAATCATCTATACATCTATACCAAAATGTAGAGAGCACCTTAAGGAAAAGAATCCTCATCAGCCAATGAGGTCTCAGCTAATGATGAAAGAATGGCCACTTAAGACAAAATGCTAATGGGATGTTTCAATCTGGGATCCACATCACAGCAAAAGGCATCAGAGAAAATGGGAGGAAAAGTAGCAATCTTTTTGAACTGCACTAGTTTGACGCCAAATTCAAACTTTTGAAATAATAGCAGCATCTGTTTAACAGCAAATAATGATCCAACATGACAAATATAGCACAAGAAAAATCTGTACTGGTTGAGCAATACTGCCACATATTTATTGGCTTGAATCATTAATGATCACTTATCATAAACCAACAATCTTAACATCCTTTGTGCTTTGTCCTCTAGCAACTATTCAGAGACCCCACCAGAATGTGAGAGTGTATGTGGTGTATATAGAATCCGGTTTGGATGCAGTACCATTAACGTCAAATTGTCTAAGAGTCACTTTCAAGACTTACACATTAATAATAATGATTATGCAGGAAAGTACTGGAACATATCGCAATCTTCAGAAGAGAAAGTGAAGATATAAGATTAAAGAAAATTGTCCTAGAAAAAATTTAACTTTGATTACATGTTAAAGTGACCCATCAAACAATTAAATACAGTAAAACTCACATAAGTCTTGTCTGTATAAATCATATAATCGTCTAAGTTGTACATCCACCTGAGTCCCGTTCAATTTCCTATTAAACTTATATGCACTCATCAAATTAACCAACAAGTAATGCATAATGCCGCTACCGCACTTGCTATCAAACTTACCGGGTCAAAACTTTGTTTCCCGCAGCTGGCTCGAACGGAACACCGCACATACGCACCCCAACCCTCTCCGCGTAAGAGTTTATATTAAATTAAAACGATTTGGTTTTGAACCCGTTTGTTTGTGCCATTTAATGTCCAGTACATTTTTTTTCTGCATGAGGTACATTACTGTGCAAGTACTGTATATGAAAAGAATGGGCTACCATAGCTTTATTATGCATGGGTTAAACATGGTACACAAACCTTGCCTTAATGTTACCAGCCTACACTTGTGTACTGTATGTGTTAGTCATATAAAATCCGACTTATACATAACTTTACATAAGTCATATATGATACGTCTTGTGCAAGTTTACCACTATGCATAAGTCATAGTAAATGTTATGATCCCAACTGATACGACTTATGTGAGTTTTACTGTATGTTGCAAACAGCGAGTATATTTTTCTAACCATTTCTAACTATTTACATTGCTAAAATAGATAGTAAGCTACAATTAAGCAGTAGCCTTACAGTAGGAATTGATGCGTTGGAGTTCACCCTCCTTAGTCGCCGCTGCATTAGATCATATTCCATTTCATTCACCTCAGCCTTCAGCTTCTCCAGCTTTTGTTTTTCCAGGTTTAGCTCTTTTAATAATCGTTCCATTCGTGCTCGCTGATGGAGTAACAATGCTGAAGAGATACAGTGAAATCAGTCATTGAAAATGGAAAAACTATCAGCCTCAGAAGTGTGCTTATAACAAATCGCTTTTAAGTAGCAATTCAATGTATGTTCAAGGTTAATCAGGACCAGAATCCAATCGGTTATTTTACATAATCCTTCTCTTTCCCCGCCCAGGACAAAAAATAAATGCTGAGATGGCTAATCACCCAAAACAAAAATAATCCTCATCTTTATATAGGATCATCTCGAGTAACTCAAAGTCAAACACGAACCATTATTTCTTGTAAATTTAGCAGATAATTTTTTTAAAAATTCATAGGCTTGCTTTATCAAGAGACTAGTTTGCTTCAGTCCATTATTGACAAACTGACTTCACTAACTACCTCCAGAAAAGAATCTATTGCTAAACAACAATTTTTGCCACTGGCGATTATGCCAAGGTTATAAAATGATTGTCTTACTTGTTCCCTGAGTAAACTATAAACTGGCACATAGCATGTTTAATAATTCCTACAATATCAAATAAATATTTCAAAGGGCTTGCAATCTTAGAACTGTTTTCATGGAAGCATTTCAGTGCAGAAGGGCTTTGTATTAAATGTTTTTAATATTTAAAAATGTGGCCTCCACCTCTAATTTGTGATTGAAGTTCATCTTTTAGCAATGTTTAACAACGTCGCACTGCCAAATTCGAATCTTTGAGTATTTCAGTTAATGAAGTACTACAAAGCAAAGCTTTGATCATCAAGAACACAGTACAAAAAGTACATATTTAGCAATAGAATGGAAAAGAACTTTGTTGGCAGGATAATAGTATTATAATATATGGAATTAATTACCCAGTTTAATGTCAAGACCCAGCTTTTCTTGTAACAAATTGCTCAGTACAGATGACATCTGTGTTAAGTAAATTGAAACATTGTTAGCCCTTCAGATCAGCATAGTCCTACCGGCCCGGTGGGTGAGAGGGGTGAGAGAGGGAGAGGAATGGGTGGGTGAGAGAGGGGGGGGGGCGGGGAGAGGGGGAGGGGACGAGGGGAGGAGAGAGAGGGGAGGAGAGAGAGGGGAGGAGGAGAGAGGAGAGAGAGCTTATGCAGATCTTTCTCAAATAGGGATTCTGCCCACAGCAGTAAAACCTTGGACCACCCTGTTTTAGATCATGTTGTAGGTGAAATGAAAAAAGCCTTAATATGTTAGCGATCCTAACATGGATACGAGTTTGCTACAAAATGTAGGAAGATTAATTTGACTACTAGTCTATTTTTATCATACATCAAACTGATACTATCAAAATTAAACTAGCCTTAAATGATTTAATGGATACTGGGCTTTGCAATCTATGCAAAATGACTCAAGAGATGGCTAGAACATAGGTACTCGCACACTTAAATAATTAACCAACCTCACATATTTGCTAATTTCACAAATTTGGGAGAAGGGGTTCTGTGGTGTTGATTTTCTCTAAATACGACCTGTGTATGTGTGTGTATGTGTATATATACAACACACACACACACACCTGTATACTACATATAGTTTATCTGAATGTTTGACCTGCAATGTCAGTGAATTTTTTTTAATTGTACACATGATGACCAGAAACACAATTTTTCACCAGCTTTGAAATTGGAAACTCAACATCGTTCATTTTGGTTCACTTATGTAAAGCAAACCCAATCAGAATCTACTTAGGGTGAAGATCAATCACAAGTAAAATCTCACAAGATAGAGTTGTGTAAAATTTCTCTAAACTAACCTTTACAATCTTTCCACATTTGACTCATCCAAGATGCTAACAGCATCACGCTGAGCTAGTTCCACAGTCTCCGGCTGCTTTCCAGCACCTCACCCAAACAGCTGTTTATCATACACAATGCTCAATTGGTATGCTATTCAGCCATGGGAGGCATCAGAAGAAATAAGTCCTTTGCTATCCAATATCCAGCTGAATACACATTCAAATATATATCTCACAGTAATCAGAAGTGGGCAATCTGGATGAACCTTCCTCATCCAGAAGTGCTAAGACTGATTATCGTACCCACGCTGCTGTGCCGGCCTAAGTGTTCAATCTCAGATCTCATAAATCTGTTTTACAAAATTGATTTTGTTTTGCAAAGTAATTATACACCACAGCATTGACTGCTTTTGCTTTTTTTGATCAGCCAGGTCCCTGGAACCTGAAGAAACTCCTTTTGCTGTGTCTAATGCTGTGTTTATAATGTCAGGAGAAAATCTCTACAGTGCATCAAATTAAACCTCAAATAATCAAAATTAGTCAGTCAATTGTCTCCAACAACAAGGAAAACAAAATAGTAACAATTTGGGGCAGAGATAACTATTGGTCAATCTGGTCTATTCATCCAATTTACAAAAAGATTCCTTTGACACCTATCACATTACCTAATAAACCTAAATTGCTTTAATTTCCAACAAACTGTTCATTTCCTTTTTAAAATCCTTTACAAATTCTTTGTTCTATCATCTATGTTAATACAGTAGTTTTCCTCTCTGATTTCCTATCATTCTACTGCACATTTATTATTTTGTGATATTCAGCTAATTTGGACCAACTGTAGAAGTAAGGGTTCAGAGATAAAAGGACAAAGATAGCTTGCTGAAAGTTGTTGCGAGTTTACCCAGACAGACAAGCAAGCTCAAATGTGACTTGCATACTGTATGCTTAAATACACTGATTGGGTGTTGCTCTGGAAATCATTTCCTGCAGGTGGTGCAAGGAGCACGACTACAGCACAATTCCCTTCTGCTCCCTGACTCTCATTTATACTAACATAAGAAATGCTAGACGAAAAAAGACCAAGGTCCGTCTAGTTCGCCTTCCTGGCGATCGCATGCACATATGTACCGAACTATCTCTGTACTATATCCCATAATGTTATTTCCTAAAAGAAAACTATCTCATCTGTGTTTGAAAGAATCAACACTTCCTCCTTCAACCATCTCCCTAGGGAGCCTGTTCCACAGGTTCACTATTCACTCACTGAAAGTGCTTCCGTAGCTTTGTTCTGAATTTACCCCCTTCAATTGCAGGCTGTGTCCTCCGGTTTTACTATTCTGGACAAGCTGAAACAGCCTGTCATGATTCTACATCGTCTAGCCCCTTTAAAATCTTAAGGACAGCAATTATATCGCTTCTCAATCTTTTCTTTTCCAGCGTGAACATGCCCAATTTAGTTAGTCGCTCCTTATAGTCCAGTCTCTCCATTCCCTCAATCATTTTGGTTGCCCTCCTCTGTATCTTCTCGATTTCTCCAATATCCTTTCTGCACTGTGGCGACCAGAGCTGTGTTCAGTACTCTAAGTATGGTATCACCAATGATTTATACAGTGGCAGGATTACCCCACTATTTTGGTTTGCTATTGATCTTTTAATACATCCCAACATCGGATTTGCTTAACTCACTGCCCCAGAACATTGTTGGGGGTTTCAATTCATTGTCAATCAGGACCACCAGAACCTTTCCATTTTCCATACATATTATTTTTCTTCTATTCAAATAATAGTTCCTTCCAGGATTTTTGGTTCCCATGTGAAGTACTTTACATTTCTCCACATTGAATTTAATCTGCCATCGGTTTGCCCAATTTCTAAGTATGTTCAAATCCTGTAACCTATCTTGACCAGCTTCGTGATCTACCACCTTCATAAACTTGGTGTAATTTGCAAACTTAGCCACTGTGCTTGCAACTCCTAGTTCCAGGTCATTTATGAAAATATTAAACAAAAGAGGTCCCAAAACAGACCCTTGTGGAACTCCACTGATAACATTTTCCCAGTCCGATGACATTCCCTGCCCTCTGGGTTCTTCCGGTCAACCAGTTCCGTATCCATTGTAATATACTTTCATTGATTGCCACTTCCTTTACTTTCAGCACCAACCTCTCAAGAGGATCTGTATCAAAGGCCTTTATGAAATCCAGATATATAACATCCACAGCCTTACGTTATCAAGCTCCATTGTCACCTCGTCAAAGAAAACCAGTAAATACTGTGAGCTTGTGGGCAAACTCTCAAACTTCTTCCAAGTGGGGAAAAGGCAGGAACATGGGATTAAAAGATCTAACAATCTAATATACTGCGGTGAAATAAACTCATTCGACGAAATGGAATCCATCCTATTCTTTTATTCTTAAATTCAGCAGCATTTTCCCACAATTTATCCAATTAAACAGCATTAGTAGCAGATCAACTGGTCTTAAGAAAAATAAACTAACCTCATCTTTCTTCTTTACATCCTTTGGTTGTGATCAGTCAATTTTAAAAACTACTTTAAAGGCTTAGATCAGGTTTGCAATTGTCTCCACAGTCCAGTCTTTAAATTCTCTTTTTATAATTTAGGAGACTTGGAATTACCCTTGATCAACTCTCTTTTGACCACTTCCAATTCAGCAATTTCCCTTTAAACGTAATAATAACAATCCTTGCATTTGATATAGCACTTTTCACGTCTTCTAGACGTCCCAAAGCGCTTCACAGAATATACTGTAAAGTGAATTGACTGTATATGTGTGGGCGAACACGGCAGCACAGCAATGTCCCACAAACAGTTGTAGATTGAAAATGACCAATTTATTATTGTTTTTTGCTTTGGAGGGATTATTATTAGGCGTGTGGGGTAAGGAAACTTGCCCAAGGTTTTGCCCTGCCTGGAATTGAACTCAGGTTTCTCGCTTAGTATCAACAACATCATTACATTTGTATAGCGTCTTTCAAATCAGGAGGCCGTCCCAAGGCTCTGGATCACATAATCTTTGGTTAAAAGTGCTCATCAGGAAAATCGCAACATAAATGGTGCCTGGGTCAGTTTATGTTCTCCAGAGAACTCCAAGTATATCACACTTGTCTGTAAGAAGGCATTCCAAAGAAATCTCTGGTCACAGCAGAGCTCTCGCAGATTAGTGTGAAGAAGTACTGAATTCTAAGGTGTCTTTTCCAGCACCAGACACTATTTAAGCTGCATTTTCCCAAGAACTGCTTTTTACTCCTCAATATTCTAACTACGTTCTTACCAACAAGTTATATAATGTGTAAATAGCATATTTCAGCTTCCAACTTACAATCAAGATGGCCATTATGATTGCAACCCTCATTAACACTTAATTCAGAAATAAGATTACATTTAGAACAGTGTAGACAAGATTGCGCAACCTACCCTCAAAGGGGCACAGATGTTTTACCGCTAAACCACCCGGCTAATCTGAATACTTTGGACTTGGTTGCTACATAAATTTTAAAACATTGTGGCATTCGAGTTCCTTTTGGCAGCTAAATTCAAGTTTGAATTTTTGTAACATTTTCTGCATATATTAAGCAAAAGAGCTAAATTATATTCTGTGACTAAATGGACTGGACTGGTACAAGCCTGTGAATTTTATTTTTCATTTTCAAGAAGAATACTTCTACACTGATTTTCTATCACTTCTGTGGATAGAACATCCACAAATATATTCAGTCATCAAGCTTTTGCATGTGAATTGATGGAATATGCTTTATATTTAATATATGGCAACCAAGTTCATTCCATGTTCTTGTGCAAAATTATGTAAAATGGTGTGCAACTTTTATGGAACAGAATACTGTACCTTGAGTGTAAGCATAGTCATCTGATCCTGAACTGGACTTTCTCCGTTGCTCTTCGGTTCGTTTATCAACACCAGATCCTGTTATGGCTGATATGGGCTGAATGGGTTCCGGGGCTCCTGGATGTTCTCCTTGGTAATCAACTAAATTCAAAATGCTCCCAGGATCAAAAGTAGGCGATGCCACCCCTCGTGAAATTGAAGGTGGTCTGTTCGGTGAAACTGTAATTTTGAAGGTATATTTAGTATTTGGCTGAGTTACAACCACACGTGGAGAGTTAACCTGGTTACTGCCAGCAGTTGAAGATCTAGGTCGTGATGGTTGATGATGAATATACGTGGGCTGTACACTATACACTGGCTGTGGCTGAACAATGTTCATTTGTCCCGACATTCCTCTTGACGGTGAGCCAGAAGGATTGGTGGCAATATATAGCGTAGGTTGACTCCTTAAAGCAGGCTGACTGCTTACTGGGGACGAACTCCGGGTACTGCTGGCACCAGATCTTTGGGGTGTTTCTAATTTGATTTCTATCTGGTTTTTCATAGGACCTTTGGACATTCCAGATACAGAGTAAGGAATATAGGACATTGGCTGACTGCCCTGCTGTGGATAATTCTGCGGAGGCTGGTATGGTAGGTGAGACATTGTTGGAGAGCTAATAGGCATGAAGACATGGGACGTCTGATGACTTTGTTGGTTGGTTTGTACCTGATGCTGTGGAGAGCTGTAGGGAGAGCTGAACTGTGATGGAGGAGGAGATCGATACGCTTGTTGAGGAAGCTGTGGCTGTTTGGGAGAATACTGAGAAGATTGATAGGATTGTGGAGGCTGATAAACAGGTGGAGGATGATGGTTATACTGTGGAAGAGAACACTGGCCAGAAGACCAAGCAGTGTTCTGAGGAGTTTGTCGTCCAGAAGTACCCTGGGATGCTGGCCTAATGTAAATGGAATTACCCATCCCGTAGGGAGTATTCTGCATTTGTGATGGACCACCATGTATGTGCAAAGCAGTGGGAGCAGTCTGACCAGATGGGAGGTTCTGTGACAACGTAACGGTAATAGGATTCATGGTATATCGAGGTATGGGCTGATATGGTGGAGAAAGACCTTGCATAGGTGATGTGTTCATGCTTGGTTGAAGGGACGTTGGCTGTTGAGATTGTGGCGGTGGAGTACCTGTATTTCGTCCCTGGTCACTTAGGAAAAAGGGGTTGTAGCCAGATGGAGTTGCTACAACTGCAGGAGCAGAGTGCGGCTCCTGTATTAGACGTACAAGCTGCTTGCCACCTCCTCGCTGAGGTTCAATGTGACTATCACTTGTGCTATGAACCAGTGTTCGACCCCCATTTATTTGACCTCCATCCCCTGTCTGGTAAGTAGTCGGAGGCTGGATACCCAGATTGATCTGCAGCATGTGGTTCCTGCTCATTCTGGTGTCATCAGGGCTATGGAACTCCCCATACAGGTATTTGTTGCTCTCTTGTGCAAGGGCTAAACAACAGACTTCCAGATTATTGTTATTCTTAATTGGAAGAAAAAGAAAGAAGGAAATCAACATAAAGTTAAGTTGTTATAACATCATACTGCAGCTTAAGTACAAAAAATGACGGTTTCAAGCATGCATTTTCAATAAAAAGTCGATGTAAAAAAATCCTCATACTGCGAAACACTGCAACTTCTCAATGCGTGCTGATACTTATTATACTTAGCGGCGTAAGAACTTTCACACTCCTCGCCTGATGGGGTTAAAGAGGTAAGAGCAGCAAACGTTGTTGAGGCAATGTCTATCAATTTTAAATGGGAATCCAATAGACCCTTGAAAGATTAAAGGGCATGGATGGAACAAGCAGGAGAAGGGGATTAGATTCTGTGAAGAAAACCGCCAGAGCAGATTTTATGGGCCGATTAGTTTCTGTGTTGTACTACTCTATGATCAATGTAATATACAAGCAAATGAATGTTGTAGTTTCGAAACCAAATGCATTAAAAAAATACAAAACAAACCTTCTGCTGACTATGAATATAGCATGTAGCGAGTAAATTTTCTGAAATGCTGCTATTTTTCTTGCAAAAATGCTTGGGTTCCATCAATCAAAATTCTTAGTGCTTTCATGTTTTCACCATTTTAGGAATATATAACCATTATATAGATATTTTATGATCCTCCAGAGCGAAAGTTAATTACAGTAGTTTTCTTCATGGTCTCAAATGAGGAAAACTGCATAAGCTTAGGATATTGTAAATTTAATCTTCCATACTAGAAGAAAGGACAATTTCATTATATTCTCTAGAATATAGAAGAATTAGAGGGGATCTTATAGAAACCTATAAGATAATAAGAATATTCCTTGCATTTGATATAGCGCTTTTCACGTCTTCTAGGCATCTCAAAGCGCTTCACAGAATATACTGTGAAGTGAATTGACTGTATATTTGTGGGCGAACGTGGCAGCCAATTGCGCACAGCAATGTCACACAAACAGTCGTAGATTGAAAATGACCAATTTATTATTGTTTTTGAAAACCATGATAGAGTAGATAGTGGAGGATTGTTTCCCCTGGTTGGAGAAACTAAAACCAGGGGTCACGACCTTAATTAAAATCAGAGGCAGGCCTTTCGCACTGAGTTGAGGAAGAACTTCTTCACTCAAAGGGTGGTGAATGTATGGAACTCATTACCCCAAAGGGCTGTTGACGCTCAGTCCTTGAACATATTCAAAACTGAGATAGATAAAGGATTTCTTATTGCAAAAGAAATCAAGGGATATGGGGATAAGGCAGGGTTATGGTATTAGCTGGAGTTAGATTAGAAGATCAGCCATGATTGAATGGCGGGGCAGGCTCGAAGGGCCTACTCCTGCTCCTACATGTTATGTTATGTTCAGCCAACCCAAACATACTAACTGCAAAGGTCCGACATGAAATGAGTTTCTGAATTTTGGTAGATAAGTAAATTGAGGAGCAAATTTAAAAATGCCTCTATTGCTTTACTTCTATTCCTCCACCAGTCATGTCGTTTGGGTAAATAAACACCTGAGAAGCCAAAGAAACCCACACCCCAGTACCAGATGTTGCAGTGCAATAAGAATCAGAATTGTATGAAACCATCAGAAAAATTGATAAAAATATGCTTTGTGGTCCAACATCCTAATCTGATCTTTCAAATCAGCATATGCTATGGAATGCAATAGTACCAAAATATCCACAAAACTCAAAGTGTTACTCCAATTTCAGAGCTCAAAATTGTTTCACTTTTTTTTAAGGTTTACAATTATCAATACATCTCGTTGAGCAATGTGGAAAGGTGTCCGACCAACTGCACAGTCAAATAATTTAGCTCAAAAGTTAATATAATATTACTGATTGCATTTAGTAATAGCTTGCTTTCTATCTCCCCCCACTCCCCCCACATTTAGAGTAAAAATCATTCACAGTGCTTCAATAAACTTCTTTCCCAAATTAGGCCCCAGGACAAACTGGGTCATTGTTAAAGGCAAAAATGGTTCATCTTTTTCAGAGCAAAATTTTAAAATGGCCTCAAATTCACTAATCTGAAGCCAAAAGGCTTCCAAGCATATTACTGCTGTTGAATAGCTGTTGATGTATTTCTTCATACCCACATCTACAAATGCAAATATCGGTGCTTCTGCCAAATAAGATAGCTGATTGCTGTATATTTGAAACAGTCTTTTCTCAATGCCACTATGAATTGTAAAAGATGAAACATATAGAGTAAAACAAGTCAAAATTTCAGGAAACACTGAAATCCATCAGGATAATGTTGGAAACAGAGAGATAACAACAACTTGCAATTATATAGTGCTCTTCACACAGGGTAGAGTCCCAGAGTGCTTAGTTCCAGAGAGAGATGACAAGTAAAAGCAATTTTAATTCAAAAAAATTAAGATCGAGAACTAAAAGATTTTGGAATCAAGAACCACAACATTCTTCTCTATACAATAAACTACTCTTACTGACACACATATGCACTGAATTAAGTTAGCATGAACATGCAGCTAGAATGCTTCATCAATTATTTTCTTCAGCTGTAACTCCAAAATTCAACAGTGTTTTGCAGCGAAAGAGCCCTCACACAGTACCTGTAGCATGCATTGAGATACCACTCCTTCTGGGATCTCAGGAAAGCGTTGTCGGAGGTCATGCAGCACCTGAATATCAATCTGCTGGCTGCCCTGTGCCATTGCCAGGATTGGATGGATGTACTGAACAGTTACAGGGGATGGATGTCAATGGGTCTGCCAATGCCTACAGTCCTCTGACCCTTCTGGCATTTTCTGTACAAGATTAAAAAAAGGGAAAGTTTTGAGTACATTGAAAAATTGCACCTTACTGTCACTAGTTATTAAAACAGATGAAAAATCCAGCCATTGGGTATATACACAGAGTGGAAGAGTCCATTAATCAGCTTTTGTCAATATCCAATTAACAGACTGCAAGTGTATCTCCTGTATGCTCTATGAATATCTTTACAGAAAGTCACAATTTTGGGATGTGTTTTGGGACATCGTCATGGGACATTTGGGACATGAAAGGCTCTTTACCAGATGTAAGGATTATTATTATTGTTTCTCCCATTCATTAAATTACCTGAGATATTGCATCCAGTGCCTTGGGACGTCCTCCCGAAGTGAAACGCGCTTTCCAAATGTAATTTTGTTCTTGGTTTTGCCGTTTCGATTTTTCCTCTTATAAGATTTCTGCTTAGTGCTCTTAAATCGACAATGTGATTGTGCTTATTAGACATCCATTGTCATATCCTAGGTTTATACTTTATTTATTTTGAAGGGAATATTACCCCTACTAAAGAATAATTTGGTCACTCCCTGGAGGGACACAACTGACTTATTTAATTCCAGAGAGTATTAGGTGTAGCTAAGGCTCGAGCTTGACATTCCTTGTAGTTCTTAGTCTCACTAAAATTACTCTTCTTGCTGATAGATACCTGACGATGGAACACTGATGATGTGTGCCTCGGAGAGAACCAAACTACTGTATTTTCATATTCAAGTACATTTCCCAGATCCCCTACAGATATCTGAGTAACAAACATCACAAAAATAATTTTCTAGCATTCGAGAATGTCTGATACTTCACTACTTAAATGACAATATAAAAGCGTTTGCCCATGTGTACACCAGTAGCCGGAAAATAATAATTTGGTCACTCAATCCACGACTGTTTGTGGGACACTGCTGTGCACAATTGGCTGCCACATTTCAACCACAAAAATAGTCAATTCACTTTACAATATATTCTGTGAAACACTTTGGGGCATCTCGAAGACGTGATAAGGTGCTACATCAAATGCAAGGATTATTATTATTAAAACATTTAAGTAAATATACAATTTACATATTCTTGCTAATTAAATACATGTAGATTCTAAACATCTTTTATCTGCATCAATCAAAATCTATTTAAATATACTGGTTTAATCATTAAGGTCTGCAGTCAAATGGCAATAAACCTTGTGCTTAAAATGCAAAGCCAGACAGGAAGCGTTGCTGAACTTGAGCCACTTCCTCTTTCGTACGGTCTCAAGATTTCCGAAAACTACATATGTCAAATGATGTTCCACAAAATTGCGCAAGTACATTGGAAGCTGGTTAGGCTGGATGCATTGGGGGCTTTGTCCGACTTAAGAGATGTCCAAGGTTGGCCAAAATACCATTCCCGCCCAGCAGAGGAGCTACAGTGGCGCAGTATAATATAATAATCCTTGCATTTGATATAGCGCTTTTCAAAACGTCTTCTCGACGTCTCAAGGCGCTTCACAGAAGAGACTGTAAAGTGAATTAACCGTATATTTGTGGACGAAACGCGGCAGCCAATTGTGCACAGCAGTGTCCCACAAACAGTCGTGAATTAAAAATGACCAATTTATTATTGTTTTGTTTTGGAGGGATTATTATTAGACGTGTGGAGTAAGGAAACTTGGCCAAGGTTTCGCCCCGCCTGGAATTTAACCCAGGTGTCTCGCTTGCAAGGCGAGTGCTCTACCACTGAGCTACAGGACTCCACGTGTAATAATTTGTGATCATGCTGTTGCACTGAAGCAATGTAACTAACCAGTTAAAAGTTAAAATACTCTCAACAGAATTCAGTAAAATACATTTACTCAGTTTGGCTGTAAAATATAGTTCAGTACTTTCCCGCCCAGCAAAGGCGCAGCACGTCCTCCCTCTCACTGACATTCCCGTTGGACTGGAAGGAGACCAATTAGCGATAGCACTGAGGTGACTGATTGCCTGCACCCGCTTATGAATATTTGGGCTCCAGTCTTTCACAAGCGGCTCAGCTGTCCATCAATCACGATATTCCTTCTCTTCTTCTTCCCTGTTCCTCCGCCCAACTCCAGCCGCTTGTGAATGGCTGGAGTCCGCAGTCAATCGCAATTTGACCCCTCCCACCTAAATCCCAGAATCTCTCGTGGCTGAATGGATGTGCTGGACACAGAAGGCCCAAGTGAGTACATTCAGCGTCGACCGGCGTGGTATTTTGCCCGGATTAACCAGATTTTCATCAGCATTTATAGCCATATTTAAAACAGGTAAGAATACAAATGAATCGGGGCTGGGCATTTTGTTTGATCTACCCGACATCCAGTTTAGCCGGCGTCCGGCAAAAGCGGTTTCCACTGTATTTCAATATCAGGATGTTGGCCACATGTGATCTACCATTAAGGTGATTGTAGGTGGTCACTGTAGCTACCATTGGTGGTCCTGCTTTTAGCCTATCTGCCACTAATCTCTGGGACTCCATTCTAGAGTCCCTTCAATTTTCTCCTTCCCTCACCTCTTTCAAGGTTTGTCGGAAGATCTTCATCTTTGACCCTCCCCACCCCCCTCTGCTCCCACCTCCAGGTAAGACAGGACTGTCGGGCACCTTGGGGTGTCTTCGATGAGAAAGGCATTAAATAAATGTAAATTTCTATTGTATTGTAAACTGTAGCTGAACCCGGGAGCTGCACCTAACAATCAGGCACTTTTGGCTTTTCTTGTGATTCTCACAATATGGACTACAAAGATAGACAGATAAGGTTTTGCTGATATCATAGACACTTGAACTGTAGTCGTTATCAACATAAGCATGAAAAACTAATCAAAACAGGTAGACTTTGCCTAGATGCTGCTAGTTTGCCAGATAATTTCTCATAGGTGACCAAGAATGGGAGTTCTCCGAATGTACTGAAGGCCTACTGAATTCCACTTTGGTCACTTCTTAAGAGCTAATAAGTCATTCATCTAAACATAGGTAGACATACAACCAAACATCTAAAAATGCACTACAAAGACATTTTGAAACACCTCGGGGAAAAATTAAGCCAAAGGGAAGCATTTTAGATTAATAATGTAGATGCAACCTTTGAATGGCTGACAGTTTCACTTAAGTGTGCAAGATGCTGCTGACATCAATTTCTGCACATGGATGCAGTGACCAGTAGCCAGTTGGTCAGCCATTGAAAGTACACAGTGCATTCTATGAATTGCTTGGAGACGTCCCAACATGGTAAAGGGCTATATCAAATGCAAGGATTATTATTAAAACATTTAGTATCATTGTTATTGAAGCGGAAAAAATCTAGGCTTGGGGTGACAACAGTGAGAAGTGCGCATCAAGAAATGAGAAGGAGAAAGGCAGAGAAAAAGGTGGGCAGTGTGGTTCTACATTGAAATTAAAACCAACAACAACAAGATTACATTTGTATAGTGCCTTTCACGTCGGGAGGACGTCCCAAGGCATTGGACAGAGTACAGCATTTCAGACCCGAGCTGGGGTCGGGGGGGGGAGGGAGAACGGAGGGGAGGGGAAAGGGGGGTGGCCGATGGCATGGTTGAAGAGGAGGGTCTTGAGATGGACTTGAAGGAGGCTAAGGAGGGGGTGAGGCGGAGTGACTGGTGGATGGAATTCCAGAGGTTGGGGGCAGAGTGGCTGAAGGCTCTCCCGCTAATTGGGCAAAGTGATGGAGATGGGGTCACGGAGTTTGGTGCGGGAGAGGACACGGGCTCCAGAGTTCTGGATTATCTGCAGCCTGTGGAGGGAGGAGTTGGGAAGGCTGACAAGTAGGGCGTTCTCATAGTCAAGCCTGGAGGTGATGAAGTTATTAACCAATGAGTTATTGATTAATATTGTATCAATTTGTATTTTGCATAATAAGCCATAAGGAACACCATTTCCATATCCATAATGGGACCAAACCCAATTAGTACAGATGCCAGAAAGTCAGTAAATTTATATAATTGTACATTGGCATTTTTCTACAAAGCTCCTGGAGTTTAAATCTTACAACATTTGAGGTAATGGAACACATCATTTAAGCAAGAAAAAAGCCTGCATGTATTAACACGATGAGCCGGTTACACTATAAGACAAGATCTTCCCTCAATCATTGGCCCAGTCCCAGTACAAATCAGTTCCCAGTAAACCAAAGCACAAATCAGTTTTCAGTAGCCTAACAGCTAACAAAGCGGTTACTGTAAAATCGCCAACAAATTCAAATTGCTAACAGAGAAACACTTCCAAGAAACTAATACAGTACTAATATTTAACCCCTCATCTGCACCATTTGCCAGAAAGCTCCTTGTACATTAAGTCACAGGAACATCGGACAGAAATAGGCCATTCAGACCATCAAGCTTGTTTTGCTAGTTTATTACATCATGGCATTTTTCTACAAGGCTCCTGGAGCCTTCTACAAATCACTTTTTTATCCTATTTCCATGTCTTTTTCCCATATTCTCTACTTATCCAATATCTCTGCATCCCTAGTAAACATCCTAAATCAAGGGTGGCAATTATTTTGGCTGACGGGCCACTTCACGAGTTTTGATGAACTTCGCGGGCCACACACTTAATATAGATGCAAATGCTTAATAATAGCTCAAAATCAAGTCTTATACTTGTACATGCATAAAATAAAGTCTATATAATTGACATTCATTAAAATTGGATTAAATAATAACAACTCACTGAGCAGACATTTATTCGATATTTCTTCATTTATTCACATACTGATGAGAATAATGGGAAAAATGAAAGCGCTGATGTGCGTTAACCAGACAATTAAAGTCAGGCATTGTCTCCGTTGTTGCAATGCCGAGTACTGCTGCAAGGTGGTCATCAGTCATCACAGACCTATGTTTTGCTTTATTGAATTTCATCACATTGTCTCCTCGCATTGTTGATCCAAACAGCACAAGCATCCTCCGGGCATGAGTCTTTATTTTTGGAAAGGTATATTCATTTAGAGAGGCATAAAAACTGGGAAGCAGCA